GAATGCGCCCGAATAAGCGGCGCATCCTAAATGGGGATTCAGTGGTCCAGGAAAAGTCTCCTACACGTTCATTATGTCTGTAAGCTGTTTTTGTTACATACGTGTATCATGTAGTGTTCTCTTTAATCAGTTCGCATTTGTACGTGTATGGCTCCTTCTTCCTCTCGTTGTTCTCCTTTTGCTCCTGCTTCAACTGACCTGGTGTCGCCGTTTTTGGATCCTGCTCTTTCATACTGGACTAGCTAGCTGTGATTAAAGGCAGTGAACACGATGGCTGGGGCGGGTGCTTACTGCCAACGTCATTGGTGGAAAGTCTGAGTGGGGTGTGGCAAGACACCTTTTCGCAGCGCTTCCACCAATAAAGTTGCTAGTAACCGCTCGCCCCAGCTGTCGTGCGCACCCGTCCCCCACAACTTTAAGCACGACTCGACTCCACTGCTCCCAGCCCATGACACATTCTCTAAGGGTTTCTCTTCATCAGCTCACAGCAAAACTTTTCATTCACCGAGAAACGGCATCACTTCGTTTCTCAACGAGCATTTTTGAAAATCTCATTAATTTTGCTCTCACATTTTTACTTGGCGTTGTGTGCCTCAGGAGGGTCTATTCCCAGGCGTTTTTTGTCTTTTTTTTGCATCAGAAGTCACCAGAGGTCAGGAAAGTTACGGAGAAATCGTTCAGACGCTAAAAAGCTGCTTAAGGAAGAGGGTGCAAGCAGAGGGTCACATCATGTTTTAAATTTAAATCACGCCTTCCCATCAAGAGGATGAAGTGGAGCAAACATGACGTAACCTAACTCTGTTAAAGAAGGGATGCCTTGAGAAACACCTTGAGGAACATAGCGTCTTTTATTGTTCTCATTTTGTCAATCTGACATGCTCAACTTGCCTGCAGTGCGTGTCACCATTTGCTTATGAATAAAGAGATTACTTTATGGTGTTCTCGTTTCGTTGACCTTCAGCAGCAAAGTAATCGTCTCGTGGAATCGGCATTCTCGTGGATATACTTGCTCTTAATATTTTTGTAGGATTTTCTACGAGCAGGAGGTGGTGTAGTGACAAGTGGCGCGCTTACCACTCGCGCGGTCCTGGGTTCAAATCCCGGGTCGACTCCCGCCCAGGCCAACCAAGCCTTCTACCCTCCGGGGACGGTAAATTGGTACCAGATTCGTCTGGGAGGATAAAACACTGACTTGTACATCGGCTGGCCCCCGCAAGTCATTGTATAGGCCACATCGCATTCAATAAGCCACTACGATTCTGAATGGAAGTAGAATGCATGCCGCATCCCGGAAGGGATATTGATCAACGGCGAAAACTTTATCCTGTATTCTTGCTCTTGATATTGCATACTATTTTCTACTCTGACTCTCTCAACCGCATTACTAATTTTTAGAACATTCGTTTCATTTTCGTCGCGACTAGCGTGTCACTTGTTCGGGAACGAGACCACTCCTTATCCCTGAGACGGAGTAGGCGTGGCATTCGAACATGGTGTAGGATGGATCACTCGCAGGTCGATTCAGTTTGAGACAACTGTCATCTTGTTCTGTGTTGAACAAAGACGTAGACATAATACATTTGTCCAAAATAAAAATATTTTGAGAAAAGCTCCACGTTCGAATCAACTACGCAGCCACGCCTACCGCATCGTATTTTGCACGTATCAGATTGGAAAGAAAATCTTGTCAACCTTGTGACGTTTTTCTTTTTTGTTTTCTAATTCCAATGGAAATTAATCAACAATAGAGTCATTGTTAGCCAGTACATTGCTCCATCTAATGACAGATAAGCATCCCCTTTTCTCAGAACTGGGGAGGCTACGAGTCGAGCAAGTCGGCGGCCTCTCGACTGGTGTCATTAAAATTGTTAACCTTAGCTAAGAAAGCCCAAGGGAGACGGAGCAGGTAGCTGTTCGTAGGGGCCTATGTGAGGAGAATATTATGAGCGGGGTCTGGTTTCCCTTGCTCTAAAATTTTCGGTAGGTCTGCATAGCAGTATGGGGTCTCCGTCCTCATGAACGAGGCACCCTGAAGCTAGTCTGGGTCATTTTCTCCAGGAGTTTCCACCGGTTACTGGATCTCAACAGCGTTGACCGTGTGTTCTACAGGGCAGCTCGTTGTGCAGCATCCCCTGGCGTCTCAGAAGCAGCACAGGAGAGTCGTCTCGGAATGCATGCCCGGTTTGGACTGCTAGAATGGGCACTACTGTATGGATTGAAATCCAGAAGACCCATCTCTCATCTCCACTGAGCGCTCCCCTAGAAACTCCTTTGGATAAGGGCGGAGTAGAGGAGACTGACCAAGGTGTACCCGGGTGCGCATCGTGCCATCCATCATGGTATGAGTGATCCATCGAGCAGCACTTTTTGATATCCAAGGGATTACAGGCAGTTGACTGTAGGTGAGGTACACCGGAGTCTTGTGGCAAGACGGCTGGTGGTTGCCTCCGGATCCCTCTTGACAGCTTCGAGAACGGTGGAGTCTCGCACTTCGTACTTCGTCTAATCGTAAGCTATTCAGAAAGCACTGCTAGGACTTTCTTTCCAGCTCATATATTGACCGGCAGCGTTACGGTACCTCTCGGTCGCCTACGAACGGCAGCATTTCCCAACGCCTTTCGAAAAAAATACCCCTGAAAAAAAACTTACACAGATAGAGTGACATATTGAGGAAAATATCGTTTGCGTGCAACTGTTGCCCTTCAAAAGGAAAAATTTTGCTTATATATCGCTTTTAGAGTAAAGGTTAAAACTCGCACGTCCACGCTTCTCAACTTCCATTATTCTCCTCTTATTGTTCCAACTACACTTGGAATCATAGTGTTCTCATTGAATCAGGCCATTCACAATACAGACGTCTTTAGTAGCTCCGCTCTTTAAAGACAGCTCCCGCGATAAAAGTCTCATGGATAGCTGCTTTCCAATTATGAAACAGTAGCTGATAAGTAATCTCCCAAAGAAGAAAACAGGCAAGAAGCGTTCCTCCAGAACAACATAAACAAAATCGCTCCCTCACAGTCACACCTCCCTGCGGTCTCTGTGCAACCCCTAGCTCACAAATCTCTCTATCACATCTCGCAGTAGTTGATATCATCCAGTGCAAAAAAAGAATACAAAAAAAACAACAAAAACGCAGAGGAAAAACTCTTGGAAGGAAAAAGGAATTTTATCAACGCGGTGTCTGAATTTGGGATTACGGTAGCGCACGTTTTGTGCGTCGAGGTTTTGCATCACGAAAATTGCGTCACTCGTGCTTTTTACGCGTTTCACCTCGCGAAATGAGTTGAATTGAATGTATATACCTCCAATGAGTAAACTGTAATAAAGGGGAGCAGAATTATCCATGGGCATTAGCAATGCCCGCCGCCCCAACTAAGAACAACTGAGTGGCCTCCGTCGGAGGACATCTAGCAAGTAAGGCGGTCCAACTGAGCAGGCGTTAGAACTAGAACTTACAGCGGCTGTAGCTCGCTTCTCGCTCGCTGTGCAGACGAATAGAGTGGGACAGTCTCTAGCTTGGGGGCTGTACTACTTGCACAAGGAAGGACGACCATGTACTACTCGAGCGCGGGGGCTGTCTTTAAAACAAACTGCACACCCACCTCCAAGGACGGTCCTTTCCAGGCGAAGGCGAATGTGCCCACAACTGCAGTAGCGTGCCACTTTGTTGAACGTGCACGGTAACGGGGCCATAGGGTAGTGATATCTGAGCGACGTTACCGTAGTCCACCAGCACTATTTGCGTCGTTTCCCGCATAACAAAATAAAACAGCGCAGAGAACAACTGGAAGTGAGAGTGTGCAGACAATAGCACCTCTGGCTGTGGTCAGGCGCCTAGGCCTGGCCGTACCGTGGGCGGACAGCACTCGGGATCATCCCCTCTATCACGTTCCCTGCACTTAAGCTTCTGAAGCTTCGAACGCATACACATCAACCAAGGACAAGAAAGGGTCCACGGACTGAGTGTAGAGTCTGTCTTAAAACCTCAGCCCCGCACTCACGTTGTCACAGCTTCGTTGACTCCTGCCCCTCCAAAGACGACGGCTTTTTTCATTGGGTGATTTCCCTGCGGACGGTTATTCTATGTACCCATGTGCTGAAATCTTCGACAGCCGTCTGCCTTAACCAACGATTAAAAAGTTCAAAAAGCGTTGTAATTGTTCCCTGGAACAGTTTGTTCCCACTGTCACAGGATTTTTCGCTCTACATAGTAATTTGAAAAGCGATTTGCGGGCTGAATACTGACAATACGTCCTGAAAGAGGTGCATATAAAACCTGGAGTACCTGGAAATTTCCACAACAGGGAAAACTAACTTATATTGCAAT